GAGGCAACTGTAGATGAGGCTCGTGATGTTTACATAGATGTGTTCAACAAAGTGGCTAGTCTTCAAGGGGGTTCTTCAAAAAGTTAGAACCCAACGCTGGTCAAATCACAGAGCACCATTAGAATTTACTTTACACTGTTCAATATTGAAACCCTTCATCATTTTTTGCATCTTCAAAGAAACTTCAAAAAAGATCATGTAGCCTGAATTATCAACCGTATCAATCACTGCTCCAGTTTCCTTGACCTTCTGCCTTTCAGTTAGTTAGAGTTTAGCTGGGATTTGCAAAAAGTTTGTATTTAAAAGTTTATATTGTTGCTTTGCAGTTTGAACCTTTTCCTCTTGATGATTATACATTGGTTAACACTTACTTTAAATTGATTCGAACTAAACTCCCCACTGGGTTTTGGATTAAACAATTGGAAGTGTGCACTGTGTTATATACAAAAGTTTTTGTTCAAAAAAGTATAGAAAGACATATTTTATTTACAAAATTGAATCAAATCTTAGATCTCCTTTCATTTTGACAACTTATCTAATTTGACGTATACCTGCTGGTCATAACCCTTTATATGATCCTTTGTATACAACTCCCACGCCTTCCTTGACATTCTTGATTTCTTTAGTTTTAATGCCTTACCCAATTTCACCAACCTGGAAGAGATTTGGCAAGAGGACCCAAACCGTGTCAAAAATGCCTTGGATGGGATGATTTCTTTCCCTGTCAGCTTGTTCTTCGTGGTGGACTTGAGTGTAAAGTGTTTGACTTGCGTTTTCCATAATCTCAACAATCCCATTACAATTATCAAAATCAATACCAACAGCGTAGTCTGATAAACAAAAAATAGAACCTTCAATGTGACAATCAGAGGGGTTCTTGATTATATCGTGAGGCTTGCCGGTTTCTCTATTGACTCTTGCAAACATTCCAAATGCATAAGGTGTGGCATCCTTATCACGATGTGGTTTATTGGTAAAATTATCACGAGTAATGGCCACATTGGAGGCCCAGACTTGGCTATTAGCAGATGTCTCCCATCCTGGAGAGTCGAAAGAAGGGACACTGGCTTCAGCTGCAATCTGTGAATTGGCGGAAAAAGCTGACATCGAAAGAATCGAAAACCTTTCTGCCCAAAAGTCTTTGGCCTGAGGCAGAAGAAGTGAATTGCGTTCAATATCAATCCAAATCTTTCCCTCGGATTTGGATGTTGCTTGATTAAGGGAGTAGTGACCTAATTGGGGTTTCATCAGTCACAGTCACCTAGCTGGATTTAGAACGTAAATATATAGAAGAACTCACAAACATCTTTTCCAACATCGGCAGCTACACCCGCTGCGGAGCGCCAACCCATGGCCCTCATATCTCCAGGCCTATTGACTCCACGAGTTGCACCATTATTCTTCACAAATCCCCTGGAGATACCATGAAGATAAAATGTAGATATTGAGGATTCAAATTGGACGAGAAGCTCGGGATGCATGTCGCTGAACTCGTTGAATTGGGCAATCAAAAGGAGCTCTAGCGATTTTTTGTCAACCAAGACCACGATCCCATGATGGAATAACTTCCTTGGTACTGATGAGGGTTTTTTCTCTAAGAAGAAGAACTTTGCAGTATCTGGAAGTCCGTATTCACAGGCGATTTGATTCCTGCGTGAGATTTCGCGTGCAACCTTGAGTTTGTTGTGTTGTTTCTCGGTGGCTTTGTTCTTTTGAGTCCTCTTCTTGGAATCATACTTTCGCTTTGAGTTGCTTCTTGCCATTTTGGAAAGTGGACGGTGTTGAATGATTGGGATACACAGAGAGTTTTCGAAAGATAGTTGATTAGAATATTCGGTTTATTGTTATTGGCACACTGCCCTCCAACAAAGAGAATAATCAAATGAGATGAGAGCGATGAAATATTCAATTTATTGTTATTGGCACACTGCCCTCCAACAAAGAGAATAATCAAATGAGATGAGAGCGATGAAATATTCAATTTATTGTTATTGGCACACTGCCCTCCAACAAAGAGAATAATCAAATGAGATGAGAGCGATGAAATATCCAATTTATTGTTATTGGC